ACAAAGCTAACAATAATTATGCAATCATCTGCTGAAATTCTATGTTGAAAATCGAACCCTGTTCGCCTCATTGGAAGGCGAACGCTCTATCCTCTGAGCCATTGCGGCTCAACCTTATTTTTTTATTTTATATTTTATATCAGTCGTTGAACAGCCGGCTCAGTTTTGGTTTACGACTACCAATGTTCAACTCCGTAGCCTCGTAATTTTGAGCCAATCCTGAGGACAAGGAAACTCCTGGATCAGTATCCCCAGAAGTATTGATTTGTTATGGGAACCTGGAGGACTTTGTGACTCGACAGATATAACGTGCATCAGGCACCATTTACTACAAAAGGAGTCTTCGGCCAGCCGGGAATCAAACTCACGAACTCTTGGACATGAGCCCAGTGTCAACCTTATTAATTGTAAAAATTAAATTATCCAGTATAATATTATTACCTTGAGCACACCAATTTTCGGGCCAACACAAGGTAACTAACAAATCAAACGTGCTTTATTACTGCAGTAAGAACGGACCATAAAATATCCCTCTATTTATACTTCAAACCTCTACTTTCACTTCTATTTTCATATTTTGTAATCTGGCAATTTTATTACGAAAATATTTTAAATCATTCTTGGAAGATTCCGGAACGTGTAAGTTCAATTTAATTTAACTCTTGCTTTATAGATTACATTTTGGGCTTTGTCGTGTGTTTTTCTTTCTTCATTTTCTGTGTTTTGTTTGGTGTGTTTTATTTCGTTTCAATTTTTTTGGATGCTCCTCACTCCATTATATTGATATCACTTTGGCTTAATTAATACAATATTAGAAAGCACTCCTTTTTGTGGATATAGTCGTGTGAGCTGATGACGAGGTTATATCTTTTCATTATTCTATTTTCCTGCTTTATAATTTTTTTTTTAAATCAAAAACATTTTTTTTTTTAAATATTTTTAGATTTATCTTGTCTTGATTCTTATACTAATTTTGATTTCGATAGTTATTACATTTATAGTATCTTCATAATATTTTTTTTTTGAATAAAAAACACTTTTTTTAATACTTTTAAATTTATTTTGTTTTGATTCTTATGCTAGTTTCGATTTTGATCGTTTTTCTTCTTATCTTTTAATTAATATTTTCCATATTTTCTCCATGTTCTTAATATATATATATATGGATAGTCGGAACCAGATAATTTGTCCTTTAAATAGTAAAAGTGTGGCTTATTCAGAATATACTATTTATATCCAGTTTGCTATAGTTTTTAAAGTTTGTACTACAGATCACCCTACACATTATAGTCATCTGAATTATGAATTTGTTAAAATTTGTTAAATCAACCTAGGGGTAGTCCAGGCATGATGGGACAATGTTCTACTTNAACACTGACATATATATATATATATATATATATGGATAGTCGAAACCAGATAATTTGTCCTTTAAATAGTAAAAGTGTGGCTTATTCAGAATATACTATTTATATCCAGTTTGCTATAATTTTTAAAGTTTGTACTACAGATCACCCTACACATTATAGTCATCTGAATTATGAATTTGTTAAATCAACCTAGGGGTAGCCCAGGCAAGATGGGACAATGCTCTATTTTTGTTTATGTTAAGTTATTATTATTGAACTTTATTATTTATTTATTTTCTGTATGAGATATGTAAGAGCAATGTTCCCACTATATGTTTTCAATATAAAAGATATAAAATTGCTCTAGTTTACTGTTTTTTAAACCAAGTTTCCTTAAGCGGTTCATCTTGCCCGGGCTTCCCCTATGTCAAATAATGAATACCATCCAATTTGTAGAAACAATTTTTATTATTAAAGATTCTAAGGAACAACTTTTGTATACTAGTAGAATAATAGAATATTACATTTTAATACACTAGTCGAAACTGCATTCACAAAAAGAAAATCATCGGTTGCCACTTTCTTTGATATTAGAATTTATTAGATTTCAAGCCTCACTTAGCAAAGTGCGAATTTAAAAACATAAACAAATAAATAAATAACATAAAATATGAATCGTAACAATAAATAATTCTTTAAAAAGAATATTAATCAAAGTTTAAAAGAAATTCCTCCTGGAAATTATTTCGCAAATTTATTCAAAAAATATAAAATATACGGAAAAATCACATAAAAGGACAAAAGCAGTCTGATCTTTCTGATGCAAATTATACAATTCGCACCACTTTATTTCTATTTATCTTACACATTATAACAATCAGACGACGTAGAACTTTTCACATGCCACACAAACTGGTCCGTTTGTCAATGTGTAACATGCGCATAAAATTAATTTTTTGCTTACTGTCAATCTCTTTTTGGGAATCAGGATTGACAAAATGTAATTTTGTTATTCTTATTTGCGTGCCTGTTTTGTCCCTTTCAAAATGGAAAATTATTCCTTTTCAAAGTAATATTTCATTTTGGAAAACAAAAAATTCGATTTTTTTTCTCTTCCTTTAATGAGTCGTCTGTTTGTAATAATGACAAGAAAGTTAAACGAATCATTTCAGCATCTAGACAGAAGATCGATGTCGATTTCAGCATCTAGACAGAAGATCGATGCCGATTTCAGCATCTAGACAGAAGATCGATGTCGATTTCAGCAACTAGACAGAAGATCGATGTCGATTTCAGCATCTAGATAGAAGATCGATGTCGATTTCAGCATCCAGACAGAAGATCGATGTCGACAGCAAGCTTTTTCAAAGCTTCTGAGAGAAATTTTAACGAATAGCTGTTTAAAAAACTGATTAAAAAAATTAAAGCAAAAATAATTATGGATGGCTTCTTTTGAAGAAGTAATATTATTGATCAATTGGCTATCTATGAAATGAGCTGTTTTAAAATGAAAAAGGGAATAAACAAGTTTCGATAAACGGATGAGATTTTTTTTATTTTTTATATTTTATAACCGTCGTTGAACAAAAGACACAATTTTTGGCGTTACGACTTCTAATGTTCAACTCCGTAGCCTTGTAATTTTGAACCCAATCCAGAAGACGAGGGAACTCCTGCATCAAGCATTGGGAGAAATATTGCTTTCGTGGAGGACTTTTTGATGGAACTAACCCGCATTTGCGCTGCATGGAGAGGAAGACCAGGAGAATCTCGAAAGGTTAGCCTTAAACTGGTGAGATTTTATTTTATTTTTATTTTATAACCGTCGTTGAACAGCCGACCCAATTTCATGGGTTTACGACTACTAATGTTCAACTCCGTAGCCTTGTAATTTTGAACCAATCCAGAAGACAAGGAAACTCCTGGATCAGTACCCCCAGAGGTATTGATTTGTTGTGGGAACATGGAGGACTTTGAGACTCGACAGATTTAACGTGCATCAGTCACCATTTACTACACGGGGAGTCTTCGGCCGGCGAGGATCGAACCCACGACCTCTTGGATATGGGCCCAGCACCCTACTGACCAGGCTATCCCGGCGCACAAAAAACTGGTGAGATTGTAACGTTTGACTGTTACTTATAACAACCCATCTTAAGAAGCAGTTCCAAAAATATAACTCCCCAATTTCAAAGATCACACTTCGCCTGATAATGATAGTACGATTGAGTACCGTTTGAGGCATCTTTGGTGGTCATGGAAAAATGTTCTATTTCAGGTGGTGAAAATAAACGAATGGATACGACATCAGCTTCTGACTCTCACCGACCACAGTGCTGAGGTAAAATATCCTCAGTTTTAGACAGATTAGAATCCCCTTGTCTAACTACTGGGAGGTTAATGAGGTTATCCTCTCCAGGTAACGCAAATGCGAATTAATTCCATCATGAAGGCTAGTTTGTGCCATTGGTAGTCGTAAAAATTGGCAATCTACAATTTTGCTTAATTATAATAAAGTTTTTGTTTAAGTTTATATTTCCTTCCAAACATCCATATTTCAAACATTCAATCAAGAAATATAAAGTCATTTGGCCGATCATGATAGAAATAGGTATTACGTGTTGGTATGTTTAGTGTTAAATTATCATTGAGTCAACTTTGGAAACTTCATACGAAATTTGCTAATTAAATTTCATTATTGTGCCTAATTATTTTTTTCTTTATGTTGTTATATTATTATTTTTTTGCGTAAACTTTTAATATGCATAAAAATATCAAAGGATCTTTCTGCTGTAGCACCGAGGAAGGGGATAATTTACTTTGAGCGTCCTTTCTCGCCAGCAACGTGACTTTTTCTATCTAGATGCTGACAGCCTTAATATTCCCAGGATAATGATTATTAACTGTTTTTGAAATATGGTGATTTTTTGAGTTTCGTATCTTATAGTTCATTTAAAAAAATCCCTCATAAAATTAAAAAGTGTCGCACATTTTCAACTCGTTGTACAGTGGGCCAGCATCCAAGATTTCTTGGCCAAAATTAGTATTTCGATAAAATTTGTTTCAAAATTTGGGTTTTTTTTATGTACAGGTAAATTGAATTCATAGTTGAAATTTAGAAATACACTAAAAATACCCCACCCCAAAAAAATGGCAGCTGAAATAGAGCGAGCAAGAATAAAAAAAATATATATAGTACGTTTAAATAATTAAATATAGCAATGAAAATATATTAATTTTCGTCATTTTATATTAAAAATGAAAAGCAAATCATATTTCCAAAGTAATATTACAAAATAACGCGAAAACAGAAAGGAAAAAAAACATAATTTTTGTTTTTCGGTATATTTAGTCCACCTTTGCAATACGGGCAAAATGGGGCAGGTTTGTTCGAAAGAAGAAACATCAAAGAAGACGACCAAAAAAAAAGTTTAGCTAATTACCTCTTGGAACTAAGTTTCGAAAGTGATTCAAACATTGTAAAATGTCAAATTCTAAGATATAAACTATACGTTTGTCAAGAGTATTCACTAATCCAACAAACTGAAAAATTGTACTATCATTTCAGACTAATTACTCTGATAAAAATGCAACAGTAAAGTGAAATTCCTATATGTATTTCTGAAATAAAAATTTAAAAGTTATATTTAAAAAAAAAAATTTTTTTTACATATTTTTCATTACATTGCACTTTCGTCGGTCCAAAAAGTAAATTATAATGTTTGGAATGATGATGAATACTTAATGTGGGCTATATTAACCTACACATATCTTAGTTGAAAATTTACTTTTTGACTTTTGCCCAAAGATCATGGTATTCTGGCCCACAGTGAAGTGACACGACCTTTTCTATCTAGATGCTGACAACCTAAATGTTTCCCCAGATAATGATTATTAATTTGTTTTTTTGAAATAGGATGATTTTTTGAGTTTCTTCTCTTACAGTTCATTTAAAAAAAATTCCTCATAAAATGACAGTTTTAACTCATTGTAGCCATGAAGGAAATATTCAGACTGAAAGAAGTCAAATGAGAAGCTGTGCTTACAAAGAAAAGGAATGCTGAGACATTCAATGTCGGTCAAACAAATGAACCTTTACTCAGACAAGCTGATACGTGTCTTTACATTCTTGGCCCTTCCCGAAAAACAATTCTTCGTTTGTTCTAGACATTGCTGGATCGAGCTCACTTTCCTTCACTACAACAGCACGATTCACGAGAGAGTCACTTCCTTTACCTTTAATTTAATAATCTCATAGAGGGTGGTTCAGACACGGGGGTCTGAGGGTTTGAAAATATGTATAAAAGAACCACTTCAGAATCGTGTGGAGGTATATTTCTGTACACAGTGGAAGAAAAGAGTTCTTCTTAAGTAACCGGGAGTGAAAACACCAATAACTGCATTCGAAGTAGGACACCCCCTCACCTGTAAGGGGTGTGACTTGTTGAGCTGTCCTTGTCGCTGTCCTTCTTTGCATTATAAAAGTAGGGCATGTACCGGTGCAGGTGTCCATAGGCGGTGTCCGTCGAACTGGGGGAGAGTGTGGGTCTGAGCACCCCGCACGATTGAGCCGCCGTCGCAGCGTTCGCGGCACACAAGAGTCCCAGGTGCTGACTCAGACCGGCTGGGCCCCACTGAGCCCACATGGCCCGCTGTGCTGGGTTCATGGCATACATGGCCGGCAGGTTGGCCAGCATGCCGTAGGTGTCGGTGAAGGAAGGCAGAGCACCGGCCGGTTTCCAGGGAAGGAGGGGTGCCCTCAGTCCGAGAAGGTTCTCCCTCGCTAGAGCTGCCTGGAGATCTTCTCTGTCCGGGTGTTCCAGCAATGCTCGAAACGGAGAGTGGAGGTAGGAGGGGTCTCCTATCAGAGCTTCCATTGTGTCCCTAAGGAAGGAAATCATGATCATCATCAATCAGGGAAGAGAGAACAGAAAGGGGAAGCTTTTACAAAGAACAATAAAATGTGCGTTAAATTCGAAGCAGAGCTATGATTTTAAACAATTTATGTTCTACCTTTTTGTACTTTAGAATAGGTTCTTTGTTATTGACGTATGCCTGTTTAGGCAGAGTGAGTGCGATTGTTCTTGTTTTCCAGTGGCGCCATCTATGGCCAAGAATTCGACTTTTGCCACACCATACGTCGCACCCGTTTATAGGGCGGACCCATTCATACTTTCATCCACAGATCGTAATTTTGACCTGAATCAGACGACGATCCATCTCCAATCCAGTACCCCCAGAGGTATTGATTTGTTATGGGAACATGGAGGACTCTGCGACTCGACGGATTTAACGTGGTCGCCATTTACTACTACACGGTGAGTCGTCGGCCGGCGGGGTTCGAACCCACGAACTCACGGACATGGGCCTATCGCCCTACTGACCAGGCTATCTCGCCCCTTTTCTTCTTTTTAACATTATTTAAATCATGCTAGAAGCCCAGCGATGATTATTCTGTACCCGAAAATATGAGGGCTTTTACAGAAACTGGAGCCCAAAATACTCTACAATGTTGTTGTTGTTGTTAATTTACGTCGCACTAGAGCTGCACAATGGGCTATTGGCGACGGTCTGGGTAACATCCCTGAGGATGATCCGAAGACATGCCATCACAATTTCGATCCTCTGCCGAGGGAAGGGCACCTCCGCTTCGGTAGCCCGACGACCTAGTCGAGCACTTTACGGTAGATCAGTTTAACGAGGACCCATACCGCACACCCTCGGTCCCTACGCAGACTGATCCAAGTGGTCACCCACCCTCACACTGACCGCAGCCAGTGATTCTTCACTTCGGTGATCTGCTGGGAACCGTGTCTTAACGATCAGTCCACTGCGGGACTTATATACTAGGGCAGCCCGACGACTGTAGCCCGACGACCTGCACGCGAACTTTAGCACTTTACGGTAGAAGAGTTTAGCGAGCACCCATACCGCACACCCTCGGTCTCTACGCAGACTGATCCAAGTGGTCACCCATAAGCACACTGACCACAGCCAGGGATGCTTGACTTCGGTGATCTGCTGGGAACCATGTCTTAACGATCACTGCGGATCTCTTTTAGTGGAAGAAAAATTTGAGTCTAATATTCTTCTTTTATAAAATTTATATAAATTTAGCAAATGTTTGGTGGGGTGGTATAAGGTATAAAATGACTAGCATGTTTTAAAATTGTTCCGTTGTTAGGAGAACACGTTTCAAAATTAAATGTTAATCGTCTTCCCAATAAATATTGCTTTATTTTACTTAGTATAGTCTCATTAGAGCGGAAATCAAATTCTATAAATGAATAATTTTTTTTAAATTTCGAGAAAAATTTATATAAATATTCGAGACCATTTAGAGTTTGTTTAAGGTTTTGTCATTAAAGAATTTCTTTTGGTTTCCCGCCGCCATAAGCATATCGCTCATGGGCTGCAATAGCTCAGGTTTTGAGATAAGTGGGTTTCATTGCCAAGGTAAATGCATAAGAAATGCTTTACTTTGCTTAAACGAAGTTGAATTATGAGTTGTGCTAGTAATGCTGCTAAAAAAATTTCATATTTACACCTGTTCTTAGTCCAAAACGCGTGTTTTTTGAGTTGTGCCACTATTGCAGCCCATGAGCGATATTATAATTTTTTTAAGTTTGTATTTTAAAGGAAAACTATAAACTCTTCAATGTTTAAATTGCTCTCTACCCAAATCGTGGATTAATTCATTATCTTAGCGAAATATTTTACATCTTCTAACTTCTACAATTATATAGGATTTGATAAAAAGAGGATGTGCACATTTGAGAATATTTGATTAAAAAACTTTACATTTGCAACGCAAAATGGTGGGGATATTTTCCTCACACCATTTACAGTTTTCGAGACATTTATGCATATATTTTCATTTATGGTCTTTCTGCCATCTAATATGGGTAGAAATTTACGCTTGGATGGATTTTAAATTTATTTACAGTTGCGGTATTAAATTTAATAACTCATAATATTATAAAACCTCTGCATTATTAAATAATGTCCTCATATTTCACCAGTTGTTGCGGTTGAATTACCTGTCAAATTCTGTTAACCTTGAGGAATCTCTAAAACCTTTGGCAAAAGGGTTGCTATCTATCTTCAGCTTCGTTATCTGAAATAGGAAAACAATCATTTTAAATTTTCGCCACACACCAAATCATTTAATAGATAATCATGTAAAGTATAATTTGAGACTATGAAATGATTTTATTTGATAACCGTCGTTGAGCAGTCAACCTAAATTTGAGTTTACGACTCAGTAGCCTTGTCATTTTGAACCCATGATAGGAGACAAGGGAACTCCAGTAGAGGTACTGATTTGTTATGAGAACTTGGAGAACTTTGTGACCCCAACCGTTTTAACGTGCACCATTTAATAGGCGGGGATTCTCCGGCTGGCTGGATTCGAGCTCCCGTTCTCACGAGCACAAGTCCAACCCTCTACCAACCAGGCTATCTGGACCCAGAACTCATGATTTTTTTTTCCTTTTATGTAACCGTCGTTGAACAGCCGATCCAATTTTTGGATTTATGACAACTAATGTTCAATTCCGTAGTCTTGTCATTTTGAACCCAATACAGAAGACAAGGGAACTCCTGGATTGAGAATTAGGAAAACTTTGCCTTCGTGGAGGACTTTTTGATGGAGCTAACCCGCATTTGCGTTACGTGGCGAGGAAGACCACGAGAACCTCCCACGGTTGGCCTGACTGCAAGGGGACTCTCACCCATGATCCGTCAACCACTGAGGAAATTTCACGTCAGCACTGTGGTCGGTGCAAGCCGGATGCGGAATTCGTATCGACTCTGATTCGAACCCGGTTCGCCTCATTGGAAGGCGAACGCTCTATCCCCTGAGCCATCGCGGCTCATAGAACTCATGATTGCAGCATGTACGCCTTATTTTTTTTTTTTATTGAAACTAAACTTAACTGGTTATCGCGCATTCTGTTTTTTTGAGCGACGCGCGTGAGATATCTTTACAGCATTGTAATTTTCAAAATGCCACGCTTTATTGCTTGTCATATTTATTTTCATAAGTTTAAAACTCGATTTCAACTGGTTTTTGCTTCGTTTTAGCCCCGTTTTAATGAAATTTATTTCTTTGTCACAAAAGTTTTTCAAAAATGAGATGAAATCAGTTCTTCCTAAATTAATGACAGCATGAATTACTTAATTTGTTTATTCAATTTAATATTTTGAAAGGAAGAAATTCTTTCAGCGTTTCAAAACTTATTTACTATATATTTTACGATATTTTGAATTTTAAGTGATTACTCCTGTTGAAAGAGAATCTACCCCGAAGGGTTTCCTCCCCCCCCCTCGATAAACATATAATTCTATAAAAGCAGACTACTACTACTATCGAAATCGAAATATAGCAGACTGTGTTCAATAATGTTTCAAAATATAGCATTTAAATTCTATTTCAAGACCAAGTAATCGGCTGTAACTGTTTTCATTCGGTTTTTCTTTTTACTTCTTGGCTTTTCAAAAACTTCGTAGTATAGCTTACGGGAAGAAAAAGTCAATAAATAAGAAAGAAACTATTAAAGTTCCTAAAAAAAAAAATAGAATGTCACACACGAAACAAGTCTTAGCTATCAAAAAATGTAAAATTGTGCTCTAAACATTATGTAAAAATTATAATTTGAATGTTAAAACATTTTTTTCAAATGCAGAAACAAGCATATGGACAAAAGAAAAATCACTCTGCATTAAAGAAACGGATAATGCCACCGTCTCTCTTGTTTTGCACATTCAAAAACATCTCGCTTTTAAACTTAAAAACTTAAATAACGAAAATGCGTAAAAACATGGACATAGTGTGCGACGAAAAAAAAATAAATTAGCAATTGAATATTATTTCGAGAATTATTAGCTGTTAAAACAGTAAAATATGCTATGCGACTCGACCTACAGCTCGCTGACATGCAGCTACAGAACTAAAATTTGACACGCTAAAAAAACTATTTTCATTTAGGAACTTTCTGCGTGCTTTTTTTTTCTTCGAAATTCCCGTTTGTTTGGAAATTATAGCAACTTTAAGTCTTTGTTTCGCGAAAAAAAAATTTTCAAAATAATATTTCTTTTTTGAGGTCTTTATTTTATAAGCTTGCCTAATGAAAAGGAATTAATTATAGAGTGAGAGATTAGATGAGCTCTTTAGATTCAATAGCTCCTGAGGACTAATTTTGACTTCTTTTTTTTATGTCGAAGCAACCTTCTTCAACAGCTTTCGTGTCACATGATTCACTCACTCTTTAATTGTTCTTTTTGATCCCAACTTATCGTTCCTTCAATTTGGTTTCGGAGCGGATGCATCCCTCTAGCATAGTCTCTTAGAGATGTGGGGTGAATTGTTATCATGTCAACTTTCATCCATGAAAATGTACTCCACCATAGAATCGATTTAACATGCCTTATATACCAGTGAATTGCAATTGTATTCTTGCAGTGGTAGACACACTACAGTACTCCCCCACCAAAATTTCATCTGCGATAGAATTCGACGAACTTTAAACCACTAGTTGATTATGTTTGTGACTCCACTAGTTGCTGTTTTGTGAGAAGCCGGGAGAGCTGTGTTAAAATCACAGCACTTTTGAGTGCTTGTCGTGAGAGCTGTATTAAGTTCACGATCGCTCCTGCGTTGCTATTAGCAATCGAGTGCGTACAGGCTGACGTTGCGTGTGATAGAGACTGAGCAGCAACAGCGCGAGGAGGTGGATAAAGTCACAAGTAGCAAGTCAACTGTTCAATGTGGACCATGCATCGAGGTAGGCGTGGTCAAATCGAAGTGGGAGTTTCTGTTAAGGTAGGCGGGTTTACATCACGTTCGAAGGTCACCCATGAGGGGTACCTCAACATAGGTGAAGATTGACATGTGACTCTTACCACAAAGACATTGAAGGTTTAGTTACAGAATTTGGGAGACATTTACGAAAAAGATTTGATGTAAATGAATTGTATTTACCAACTGATTCTGGTAGGCTGTAACAGCTGTGAATACGGTTTCGGGGAAGACGTATGTTCTGCATTCTTCTGTCTCGAGATCTGTGATGACACTTGACCCACCCTGCTTCCTTCTGACCAAGTGAATCCTAGGCTGATACTTGTGCATGGAATTCAAGACAATCTGAAAAGGGAAGGGATTCATTGTTATGAAGAGAGAGATTCATTGTTCTGAGGAGCGAGATTCATTATTATGAAGGGGAAAAGACATTCATGGTTATGAAAGAGAGATTCATTGCTATGAAGGGAAAAAAAAACATTCATTGTTATGAAGAGAGAGAGAGATTCATTGTTATGAAGGGAAAAAAACATTCATTGTTATGAAGAGAGAGAGATTCATTGTTATGAAGGGAAAAAAAACATTCATTGTTATGAAGAGAGAGAGATTCATTGCTATGAAGGAAAAAAAACATTCATTGTTATGAAGAGAGAGAGATTCATTGTTATGAAGGGAAAAAACATTCATTGTTATAAAGAGAGAGATTCATTGTTATGAGCGAAAAACATTCATTGTTAGGAAGAGAGAGATTCATTGTTATGAAGGGAAAAAAACATTCATGGTTATGATCTTCTAATGTATAATAATAATTTTTTTTTTCAATGATGTAAATAATTTCTGAAAAGTCATCCGTATTGAAATTGTGTAATTAAAATTCAAACTTTTTAATTTGAATTATCCATTATTAGGGATTTTTTTCGTGGCATGAAGAGATAGCTTTTCTTCTAACTTTATTCTAGATAAAAACTAAAAAAAATTAACTACGTACAATTTAACGACAGGGCGCCGAAACTCCACGAAGACATTATTTACACTTTCAATTTCAAAAGAGGAGTTTTACCTATTCAAGTAATGAAGTCTACAAATTCCATTTCTTTATTTGGGGATTGACTGCGGAAGATTGATTTAAGATGTTATCCCAATTATTTATTAAAATAAAGGTTAATTCTTCTTCTAAAAAGCATATTTTACTGCGCAGTAATAAATAAAGACTGTATTTCTAGCGAGTTAAAGATTATTTATACGAGAAATGATACTTTAATTATCTAAAAGCGATCAATAAAAAGGAAGGGCTAATCTATAAATGAAATGTAATTCATTTTAAGTTTTATTTACATGCATAAGCTGCATATACATCGAACCCTTCAAATAAATTAAAAATACAAAGAAAACATAGAGAAAATAGATAATTTTTATTTTTAACTCCGCATTTTTATTAACTTCGTATTTCTTGAAATCTAAACGACTTAGAAAAGCAATTTTTTTAAAAAAAAGTTTTTAGCGTTTTTAAAACTTCAGTGATATTCCAATTCAGGTGATTCTTACTTTTCGTACGCTTGTTAATTTTATTTTATAGTCTTTTATGAATATTTTCAAAGTAATTGCCGATTTCTTTTATGTTACTAAAAATACCACTAGCAATAAACCTGAATTTAGTTAGGGTTTTATAGAAATTTCTGATATATATATATATTTATAAATAATATTTAGTATTATTTAATTATAAATAATATATAAATAATGTTTAATATTATTTAATTTAATTTTACGTCTTTATTATGATTTAGTTTAGCTTTGATTTTATTAATAATGTGACTGTTAGTGTTCAGTTTTTTATAGTTAATACAGCTGATCAGTTCATTAGAAACATAAATTGCAACAAAAAAAAAAAAAAAGATTATACGAAAAATTTATGTAAAAATATTTTTAAAATAATTGCAAAATTATTATTAGCATTATCAATAGTGGTAATACAGAAATTGTTCATTTTTATAAATTTTTTTAATAAAATTAGACTTAACCTTATTTTTAGAAGTAGAAAAATGTGGTCTAAATTTAAAACCTAAAGACATTCATTTAAGGTTATCGTTATCAATATTTAGAAACCCAGTAATAACATCATTATGGAAGGTATAAAAAAAAAGTAGTGATTTTATATTCATCATATTTGCAAAGATAATTTAAACTATCTTTAGCTAAATCCTTATAATAAAAAATAATTAATTTTTTTTTAAATTTTGTGCATATCTAAAATAGGATATGCTACTTAGTTGAGAAGTTAAAACATAGACAAAATTTGGAAAATAATAAAGATTAATGAAAATAAACGAAACAAGTTTATTAAAATAAAACATTCCAAATTTTTTTTAAACTTTATTTATTTGAAACAAAAATTATTAAGGACTCGAGAAACAAAATGAAGAAAAGATGTAATATCTTCATCAGCTCACACGATTATATCCGCAAAAAGGAGTGCTTTCTAATATTGTATCAATATATCCAAATCAATGTATACCAATGCAATAGTGGGAGGAGTACTCAAAAATTGACATTAAGTAAAAAAATTATATACGAAATTATAAAACATATCAAGCAAAAAACAGAAAAATAAAATGTAAGGAAAATCCATTCAAATCCATTCGAATGTATTCAAAAATTGAAAATACGTTTCGATTTTATTTAGTGCTCCTCACACTTATTGTATTGATTATTTTGCTTTGGCTATATTGATAACAATATTAGAAAGCACCCCTATTTGTGGATATAATCGTGTGAGCTAATGAGGAGATTATATATTTTCTTTATTATGGGTCCCTGATTTTTTTTAAATAAATAAAAACAAATTAAATATTTTTCAAAATATTTTATTTTAATGCATTTCATCAATCTTTATTATTTTCCATGTTTTATGAGTTCTATATACTAGTTAATAAAACTTGTTATTTAACGTGACAATGTTAGCCCATTGATACAGAAACGTAAACAAATGCATCCGAGTAAAAACAATAAAGCAGTGATCACCTGATAATTATAATTACTGTTATATAATTATTATAATATTATAGTAATTATTATAATAATAATTACTGATAATTTACACAGAATCGTATGAGTGCGTCTAATAATATATGGCCATCATAATGTATATGAAGGATTGTAACTCACGTGTCCTTGCTTGTCCATCTCGTTGTTGGTGAGCTTGACTTTTTCGAATGAGACGACCTGTTTCCTGAGCTGGTCAGCTGTGAAGGGTGAATCGGGATGGGTGTAGAGACGAGCCGGGGATGGAGGATCGGCCTTTCCGGCCACCAGCCAAGAAGAACGGTGGTAGGCATATCGATATCTCTTCTGGTCGACGGGAACAATATCCATCAGAACAGAATACCTCTGATGTTCCAAGAATTCCACACCAGAGAACGATACTCTGAGTGTGGGGAACATCCGCCTGCAACAGAATGTAAATTATACTCTTTCATACCTTTTTTCTACGACATATTCCAGGGCCGTCTTAATAGCATGCAGGTCCCCCGGGCGCAGACATTTTTTGGGCCCTTATGACATTTTATACCAGTGCTTTCCAACTGGCGGCCCCGGGGGTATTTTAAACAGTATAAAGCAGGGGTTTCCAACTTACATGAGGCCGAGGGCCACAATTAAAAACACAAATCGAATGGCGGGTCGCAACTTTTTCAAAATTTTATGTAGGACTCTTTTATGTTTAAAAGAACATTAAATATTACTTTCAGATTCTTACCAAGTTGTACGAAACAAAAGTATTGAATTGCAAACTAAAATAAGAGGTAGATTTTTAAAAATATTTAATTGCATATTAAGAAAATTCGGGCTACCATAACTTTAATGTGTACCTATGTATTAAATAATTAATGTGCAACAGATATCTTTGTGCTTTTTTTTGTGGCCCGCGAACTGAAATATATTAGTTGTCATTTTCTTGCGGACAATTTTCGTAAAAAAATCTATATGGGTTTAAAATACTTTTCTCGTTAATAAAAACCTAATTTCTTCGTTTCAGTGAAATACCAACGGTGCAAAAAAAAATTATTTCTCAGATTTTTCGCTTCCAAGAAAATATTTACACAAATACGAAAATAATCGTGTATGTTGCTCTTTTTTATTTCATTTTTTGTTTTGTTTTGTATTTTGTGAATATAATTTAGAGGGTGTGTATCAGAAATTTTCACGAAAAAATTCCCCGATTTAACTTTTTGAAACCACTCATTTTGGACGAAAATATTGGCACACACATTTGTAAATTTTAAATTTAAATTGTAAATATCTATTCTCTGGTGGTTGCAGCAGACAAACCTCAATTTTCTCATTGAACGTTTTGTGTGCTACTATGTAAGTTTTAATACCAACCTTTTTAAAGTTTTAAATCTTAACCATTAGATATCTATTGCACATTAATTGTTTAATACATGGGAGCACATTAAAGTTATGGTAGCCCGAATTTTTTAGTATGCATTTAAATATTTTTAAAAATCTACTTCTTACTTTAATTTGTAATCCAATACTTTTGTTTTGTACAACTTGGTAAAAATCGGACAGTAATATTTAATGTTCCTTCAAACATAAAAGAGTCCTACATAAAATTTTCATAAAGAGTTTTCTGTCAT